TTGTGTTGGAGAAAGCTGGGTAGATGCAGGAGAAAGGAAAAGGAGAAAGCATGGACTTAAAAGGTCCAAAGAAAAAGTTATAAGGTAATGCTAGATTTGGCTGCTGTACCTGTTTACCCATTGAAAGATGAATGCCCCAGTTTTACAGCACCAAAAAAGACAAGGGCACTCTCTCTTGCTTGTGCACTGGCCTCTCAAGCAAGCTCTGCTTGCAGTGCTGTCTGCGTTCAGCCTGTGCAGCTGAATATGTTTTCTGCCTTTTCTCCCCTGCTCCTTCCTCCGTCATCCCCCCGGGGCTATTTCTCATGCTTTTCCTCACTCTCTGTCAAGCAGTGGGAAACGAGCAGCCCTGTTCAACTGCCTGCGATTACGGAGGCTCTTATCTGCGAGCAAACAAAGTCTCTGTTTGCAAGGGAAACCTGAGATCTCTTGGGTTTATGGAGCTGAAAAACATATGTTACTGCTTTCACAGCTCACTTGCTAACGAGTCCTAAACTTTGTTCTCCAACTGAGCACATTTTCCTGCTTGCTCTTTGCTCCCGTGGCTTTCCCAGTAAATGGATTCAGTTTTGCTATTTCCCTCCTCTATCCATTTACCTTTGCCTGGCAGAGAGGGGCAGGGATTGCAGACGACCTCTAAATTTTAGGAGCACTCTGCTTCAAATCTAGATGCAAAGCAAGATGTAAGGCCTCTTGCTACTTCCTGGCAATGACTGAACTGCTCCAAATCCTAATGCAGGCCTCCTGGCTTTTGGCCTCTGCATCTACCGTATGTTGTGGTGGTGTTTGCCCCTTAGGTGGTTGCTGGGGCCAGATGCTGGGATATTTGTTAGGGTCAGATGCGTGTGAATTCAAACGGTTCAACATTTGATGTGTTCTGAGGCATGGCAGATTCAGCCAGACCTTGGGAGAAATGTTTTTATGGCTTCTGAATGCCTCACTGCGGCTGTAACAGCAGGCTGGTAATTTGTGAGCAAGGAGGAAACTGTGGGATGGAGGATCATGGAGAACCTGAAGAGTGGCTGAGGTGTAAGGAGGGAGCTTGCATTAGATTAAACACAATATATGAGCGTAAGGAGGTGCACCTGAACCTGGGAGAGGGTGTGGAGGTAAAAGGAAAGGACTGATGCTTGTCTGGAAGGACACAAATAAAGAGAAGAAAGGGGTGCCTGGAGATCTGAGTACATTTTGAGCTGAAAAGGACCTTTCTGCCTGCCCTTGTGTTTGCTTTTGCCTTCCTCATTCTCACACGGGACTTGTCACCACTAGGAGGGGTTTCTCCTGGACTTTTCCTGGAGTCACCACTGGAGTGTTTGCTGATACCAGCAACAGCACAGTGTAAATGCATCGCAGATACTTGCATCCCACAGGGTTGCAGAGGGAGACGAGCTCTTCTTAGGAGTCGCTGCCTTCGGAGTGAAGTAGCCCAAATATTTGGTGAGTCATCTCTGGTTTTCCTTATCCCTGTCAACTTTTTCTTTTGCATCTATACACAAGCATTGCCTTTTGTCTGGTGTCTCAAGCATCTCCTGTGCTTTATTCCTCAGCACAGACCCAGCAATCCCCTACAGCTGTGGGGCACAGTGGCTCCAAGTGTCCCATTTGTTTTTTCCTGTGAGTCCCATATGCTCAGAGACAGCAGGAGCAGCCCTGGGTCAAGTCATGACCTGGGGCTTGGCAGAGTGGTTTTGCTTTGGATGAGAGCTTGCTGATCGCATTAGATGTGATATAACAGGTATATCGATTCCCCTGGTCTCTAGTCTCTGTCGGTCTCTGGTTCTATTTCTGGATGGGTCTGGCAGGTGACTACAAGGTCTTTTGTGCATAGCCATTTCTCTTTTGAGCAGAGGGGGATTTCAGCCACGGTAGCTCTCATCCCCTAAGATGAGATAAGTAAGAACAGATGCTGGCAAAGGATGGGGGAGAGAGTGGTGGGCTCCTTCTTATAAACAGCTCCAAAGAATTGTTTTCCTGGGCACAGAATTTGCAAACTCGGATGACTAAACTTAAGCCTCCTAAGCGCTGCTTCCCAAAATTTGGCAAGGGCTGGGTGCCACCATGCCCTGAGGACCTTGTTTGAGGTTCCTGGGCTCAGCTCTTTGAATCTCTTGATACTGAAAGGTGTTATTGCTATAGTGGTACTGCTAAACGTCTTGAACAACGGGGTCAATGGGGATTGAGGGGATGTGAGACACAAAGATTTTTGTTCTTCCTTGGCCAGCCTGATGTTTTTGGGACGGCTAGGGATTGATGGAGGTGGTTGTGGAAAGAAGGCTGTGTTCCTCTCTTCCTCCCTCCCCAGCTTCCCCTGCGATGAAGGGTCCCTTCCCCAACAACCTCTGGGCTTGGAGAGGCACTTACCTGGAAAGACTAAGGCAGGAGTTCATTATATTCTTAATTATAGAGATGTTCTTAAGTGCTCTGGTGCATAAAGCTGAAAACACCTTTCCCTTGCCACTGGGGGTGAGTTCAGGGTGATTTATTTAAGCATTCAGATGACCGAGGCCAGATGATGTGTTTGATACGTGAGAGAAGCTGGACGCTGCAAGTGTCGAGTAGCCTGTGCTGTGGGCGCACAGGTCTGCCCTGGAGGGGCTGTGGGTTGTTCACCACGTCCCGTTATGGCTACCATGTGCCAACAACCGTGGGAAATGCAAGGAGGGCCCATACGAGGATGCTCTGAGGCGGAGAAAACATGAACTACAAGGAAAGACTAGAAAAGCTGGGGTTGTTCAGTCTAGAGAGGGCTTGGGGGACGCCAAGCAGTTGTGAAGTATGTAATAGAGGAAAAGTTTAAACTGTTCTTTATATCCACCGTGAACAGGGCATGAAGTAGTGGGCTTAAGCTGTACCACAGGAGCCTAGACTTTGGGGAAAAGAAAGAGCAAAAAACCCCTTTTAATGTTAAAGCTAGTTTGGACTGGATTAGCCTGTCTTGGGAGCTGGTGGGATCTAGCGATTTTTATGAGGGATAGACTAACACCTATATTTAACACCTGACATGCTGCTGTAGCCAGCCAGATGGAGCGAACAGTGTTTCGAGGTCTCCGTTATCTCTGTTCTGTCAAATCCTATGTGCTCATAGGTAAATATTGATGTGTGAGCCTCGTGCCCACACCAGGAATGTGAATAACAAACCTCATGGCCTCTGCCAGCAAAACTGCTGATTTTGATCCAATGTCTTGAATTCCTATTGCTGAAGGAGAAGGGCTGGGGAAGAACTGATGCTGTGGTTCAGTGATAGGGAAACTCGTAGAAGTTTAGGGATCCTCGTAGAAGGTAACAAATACTGCAACCCCATGGCACATGACACCCTTCTGGTAAGAGCTCTGAAGGTTCAAATATATTCAAAAGATGTGGCTGGGGTAACTTGGTAATTGCTGGGTTTATGCCAGGTGTACTTGAGGACGGCTGATGAAGACAGCAGGATCAGCTGTCGTCTGCACCGCTCGCCGGTGGCATAACGCCCGCACCCCCCGTCTGTGCTCTGGGTAATTCAAGAGCAGGATCACCATCTTGCCACATGAGATCGGCATCAATTTTTTACTATGGGGTGACCTACTGGTGCCCAGATCCGATACTGCTGAGCTTCTAGGGATGGCTTGACCCCACCACATCCAAGAGTGTGCGATTCCTTGTGACTGTCCTGGATGGGCAGAGACATCTGTCTCAGGACAGCATTCAGGGCATGGCACGCTTGGGCACTGCTCAGTTAGTAGTAGTCCAAACTGAAACCCCTTTTGTTTCATTTCCACCCTCTCTCCTTGCACCCCAGCTGCCAATAGACTGGGACATTTGGAAAGGGTAGCAGGGATGTGTCATTTCAGTTTTAACTTGCGTCTTATGTCTCTGTTTTATTTGCGCCTTCTGCAAACTGCTCAGTTTTTTTGAAGTGTCAATTTGCAAGGATTTATCCACTGATTTCTGCAAAGACACACCAGGCTCTGAGTTATTTGCAAATAATTTACGTGTGCATTTCATCCACGTGTATAGTGCAGCAAATTGTTCACTCTTGTTCTTAAATGACTGTTACTGCATCAGATAAATCAGGGAAATTGGAGTTCTAGGCTGGGAATCTGCAGCAGACATGCCTGGATTTGGACATGGCACTTTTTAATGCAACAGAAAAACATCTCTGGCTATCTCTGTACTCTAAAGAAGTGCTGGGTAATGGCGCTTCTTTGTATGCCAACACAAGACTTTTTTTTCTAAATCTTTCCTTGCGGTCTTGATA